GCCATCTGAATGTCTTCTTTGGTGAAGTGTCTGTTCATATCCTGTGCCCATTTTTCTATTGGGTTATTTACCTTTATCTTCTTGTGGTGTAAAAATAATTTTTTTTAAAAAAAACTGGTAATATTTACAATTAATTTATTCACACATACCAAGGCTTCAAGTCTTTAAAATGCTTCGTACTGTTGAGACTGAGGATTAGCGTGGTATAAGTAAAAGCACAGAGCGTAAAATGGCCATGAAGAATTAAAACAAAAGATTGATGTAAAACCAACGATTATCATTTAAGAAGGTCAAGATTGAAATTAATTTCTAAAAGCAAATGATCTAGGTCTCAGAGAATATATGCAATAATAGAGGCTTTTCCAACTTTTTTATTTAAAAAAATCACTTACTAAATTGGCTTTATGTGTGACTACATAAAGACCTTTGTTTTCATTTTCTTTGTCTTCTATTTTTCCCAAATTTATCTACTGCTTATATAAATTTCTAATATCAATAACCATGTGAAAAATTCACACTGTCATTGTTATGTGCCATTGAGGTGCCTGCGCCTCATAGCTAACAGAACATAACAACAACATTAAAAAAAATAGAGATTGTAGAAAAATACTTAAAAGCAAGAGTTATGGGATACTGAAAGTGGGCTCAAATTTAAAATATGCATGATTACTAGTTAAAAGACATTCTTCTTAGATCCTGACTTTCAGAATGAGGTGAGAGAAAGAAAAATCCATCACTGTTAATATATGTACAAAGAGCAAGGGCCATGTGGGGAGTGTCATATCTGACTTTTACCAACTTCATAGGGGGAAGACTATCCCTGGCTACAGTATCAATAACAAAAAACCAATTCCTACAAGGCCAGATATGTCCCTGACATTCCCATGCCTCCTCCTATTAATTTCAACACAACTCTTACTGCTGACCTAGGTCCAAATTCTGATGGGATGGCTCACAAACCATACAGAACATATTGGAAGAGTTAAAAGGCTATAATTAAGATTAGTAACAAAATACAGTCAAGACAGCTCCCAAAATGTGCACATAGAAATATCAGCCTCGAGCCTCATGGCTCTCAGTGTTCCTACATTCTCAGTCTTGGCAATTCTGGCTTCCCTTGTAATTGCCCAACAAAGTTCTCAGAACTGGTAATATTGGCTTCTCCCCCCCAGAGTCCCATCTCATATACAATTTTCCAATTCAGCTGTTGCTGATGCTGTCATCCCAAAGGATGTCATATATTACTGAGTTGGGGGAAGTCTCTCTTCTTCTGGTACATGAAGAATTCCTTCTAGTGGAGGAAGAATTCCTATTCCCTGCAGCTAGAGATGTTCAAGCAATTGGTGAGACTAACCAATCCTGTTGTAGATTGTTGAGACCAGCCAATCCCCTTGTGGAATGGTAGATAGCCAATATGCCTCACTCACACAATCCTGCCCCTCCACGTGGTCAGTGATTTACACGAAAAAAGCCATACTGAGAGACAAACTCCACAATATAACAAAGAAAAAATAAATCTGTTATATAGACATATATAAAAATTATATTCTTCCTCATAAATTATAAAAACACATAAATCAAGTCGATTAAAATATGCTCTGAATAAAGTGAATTAAAACATGCTTTGAATAAATCAAGTGGGTTAAAATAAAAAATTACATCCATGCTGCTAAGTGTCACTGAGTTGAATACAACTCACAGCGAAGCTATGAAAAGCTGACCCGAAAACCTGCCCTTATCCTGTGCCATTGTCATCTCTGACACACTACAACTCACTGATGTCACCATATCAATTCACCTCGTTGGGGACTTTCCTTTCCTTCAACGACCCTCCATCTTTCCAATCATGATAGCCCTTTCCATGAAATCGCCTCATCTAGCTATAGCATGAAAGATGAAGATTTAGAATTTCATTATAGTACTTTGCTTTGTCTTCCTGAGCTGCACTCTGAAATCTTCTGTTTAACTTCCTCATCTCAGCTTCTCTTTCTTTTATTTTGGTGTCTTATCGTTTTAATGGACTATCCATAGTCTGCTGATAGCCATTTTGGTTTTTTCTTCCTCCTCTCTCTTTATAATGACCTTCTGCTCTCTTCATGGATGATTCCTTTGACGTCCTCCCACAGCCCCTCTAATCTTCAATGCCTCAAATCTGTTCTTGAGATGGTTCTTAAATTTAACTGGAATGGATTCAAGGTTGTATTTCGGTTCCTTAGTTATCATTTTCTTCAGCTCCAATTTGAACTGTACATGAACAATTAATTGTCTCTTCCAAAACTGGCACCTGGTCTGGTTTTGCCTGCAGATACTGTGCTTCTCCAATGATTAGTTATGCATATATAGTCAATCTGATTCCTGTGCAATCCATCATCTACAGTATCTATTAAATGATATAGGTATTAAATGTCTTTTTACATTATTTGAGTGTTTACTAACAATGCTCAAGGTAAGGCTATTGAGCCAAGATAAGCAGAGCTTCACAGATAGGTTACACTTGCAGCAAGAACTTAGAAGAAGTGAAAATAACACATTTTGGGTCAGACTTGCTGATCAGAAAGATCTGTAGCCCTGCTGCTAATACATTAGCCCACATGCAAAACCACCAATCTCATCATCTTAATGAATATTCTCACAACCAAATCTTATGGGAATTAAACAATGGTTTTTCTAAACGGAATCAGTCTTTTTGACTCAGAAAATATTTAAAGAACTAAAAATAAAAAATATCCCTGAAGTGTTCTGGGTAAGGCCCAAAATATATACTTCATTACATGATATAGCTTATTAAGAGTCAGCAACAAAGAAAAGATGAAATAACTATAGGCATGACTTGTTTCTTATATAAGAAACAATAATAACATTTTAAAAAAGTGATTATATTAGCACTTATCAATACTATCAGAAAATCACTCTGTAATAGCAAATAAAAAAACAATTTACATTTCTAATATCTATTAATTTTACTAGTAATAGAATAATATGAATTTGACTTTTCAAAATTTATCTAGTTTAATCTTCACAGCATCCTGTTTTTGAGAAAAGTTAAGTTGGTCTGAGGAAAATTTTTAGGGTTCATTTATTTCTATTGGTTTTAAAATAATGTTCAAAAGCAGCTAGAAGGGCTAGATGAGGTAAATGCATGTGTGAGGTTTAATATCAAGTAGCAATAAATCTGACAGTCTCTGCCAGTAAGTAATCAAACAATTACGGAATGGAAAGTACATCTCGTACAAACTGACACAGCCATTAAATCAGGAGTGTTGTTGAAAGACTTATTGACACTGCAAGAATGACCAGAAAGCATTAATTTCAGCATTAATAAAATGGCAGTAAATAGATGACAGCTGCCAGAGGAACTAAGAAATAAGGTTACTGGCCTTGTTAAGCTCACGTCTGATTTTCTCGGGCACAAACTGATCGAGGTAGCGTCTGAAGTGAAGTGCGTCAATGGCAACAATTTCTGTGCAGCGCCTCTGCCAGTCGTCCCTGGACAGGCCAGAGAGAGTTAAGTACAAGAGTAAGGAGCCACCCATAAGAACACCCCTACCACAGTGAAAAAAGAGTGGAATGTTAAAATGTATTTAAAACCCAAGAAAACCAGTCTCTATAAATATCAGATTGTGGACAGATATTAAACAGTAAATAAAAAGTTAAGAGACACACAAATTGACATGCCTGTATACAGGTACAGCATTTACAGTGAGTCTTAGTAGGAGCTCGTTCCTCTGTGTTGAGAGATGTGCTCCCAATCACTGGGCTTATGACATCAACACATAATGTTCCAGAAATGAGGCCAAGAAGTTAAGCATTAGGAAGAATGTGTTAGGATCCAGTAAAGTATTTGGCCTACTCTTATTCAATTGGGGAATGAAAAACTAGGGTTTTGTTGTTTTTTTTTTAGAAGCAGCAGCTAGTACAGCAAATACACACTGCTATAGAAATAGAATGGTCTGGTTAAGAGATTAATTTTGAAAAAGAGAAATTCTAAATATTTCATCTCTTTATTAATTCTGTGACTCTGATGTGCAAAATGTGATATTGGTCACCCATGGTGGACAGTGTCTGGTGGAGCTCCCCAATAAAACAAGCTTGGAAGCAGAAGTAGCACCCACTTCTGAAATACCTTGCCTCCGGAAACCCTATGAAGTTGGAGAAACGAAGAAAGTTATACAAGTGTTCAGGTCTTTCCTTCATAGGGTCACTATGAGTTGCCTATGACTCACAGGCATTTAATAACAATAACAACAACAACATGCCAAACAGCATTTTGCACTAAGAACAGCAGTATGAACCTTCAAATTAGTCTATAATTATCATGAAAATATCCATGTAAACAATTGTTCTCTGAACCATTGCTGTTGTTATGTGCCATTGAGTTGCTTGTGACTAACAGTGATCCTATGTACAACAGCCCTAAACCCTGCTCTGTCCTGTGCCAATCTCATTGGTCTGACACATCTACCCACATTACCCCAGCCACTGAATCAATTCACGTCATAGAGGGTCTTCACCTCCTGTGCTGTCCCTCCAACCTTCCAAGCATGATGTCCTTCTCCAAGGACTGGTCCCTCCTTGCAACGTGTCCAAAGTATGTCAGAAGAAGCCTCAGAATCCTTCCCTTCAAGGATCAGCCTGGTTTAACCAGATGAATCTGTTTGTTTTCTTAGCAGTCCATGGTATAGTCAATACTTTTCTCCGACAGCATCAATACTCCTTCTATCCTTCCTAGTCCAGTTCTCTGATGCATAGCAAGTGATTGCAAAGACCATGGCCTATATCAGGTGCACTTTAGTCTCCGGAGTGCGGAAGACTAAGTCTCCAGAGTGCAGGAAGACAAAGTAAAACATTACAAGGAAATGTGCAAGGAGTTGGAGTCAGAAAATTCAAAGAGCTGAACTCACTCAGCATTTCTTAGGCTCAAGGAACTGAAGAACAAATTCAAACCTCGAGTTGCTATAATTAAGGATTATTTTGGCAAAATATTAAATGATACAAGAAGTATTAAAAAGATGGAAAGAGTATACAGAGGCACTGTACTGAAAGGAATTGGCAGATATAGAGAATTTGAGGAAACAACATATGAACCAGAGCCTATGGTGATGAAGAACTTCAAGCTGCTTTGAAGGAATTAGCAAAAAATAAGGCCCCAGTAACAGATGGCATACCAACTGACATAGATTTCAACTAACAGATGCTGCCCTAGATTTGTTCACTAAGTTGTGTCAGGAAATCTGGAGGTCAACCAGGTGGCCAACTGACTGGAAGAGATCTATATTTGTTCCTATTTCAAAGAAAGGTGACTCAAGAGTGTGTGGAAATTATAGAACAATATCATTGACATCACTCACATACACGCAAGATTCTGCTGAAGATTATCCAAAAACAACTGGAACAGACATCTCTGTACCTACCCTTTTTAAAATAAAGGTAGAAAGAAACCAATGATAAGACTTAAGAGATTACAGAAAAATAAGCCTGTGGCACAGATATTCTTTTCTGGGGAAGAACTGATATTTTCTGCGATGGCAAAAACCTGATAGGCTTTCAGAAGCAATTATGCAAAAGTTTACTTTTAGTAAAGAACACAAAGAAGTAAGAAGGTATAAAAAGCATAAAAATACATTTCAATATGAGCAAAGTTTACTGCAGGTAAACGTTCTGCTGTGAGCTGGTTTGCAGCATTAGGCAAGCAGTGTCAGTACTGAATATACCAGGAACTGCTAGGAGGGTGAAATCAGGCTGCTCATTGGAGCCAAGAATTCTGAAGTTTTATCTGACATGTTGCAAGGAAGGATGAGTCAAGTTTGGGAGGGTGGAAGGACAGTGCAAGAGAAGACAATACTTGATGAGATGGATTGACTCAGTGACTGAGGTAATGGGGTGAGTCAGAGATGGTAAGGTTGGCTCACCATAGAGCAGGGTTCAGAGCTGTTGTACATAGAGTCACTATGAGTCAGAAGTGACTCAACAATACACAACAACATCCACGTTAACTAATAGTTCTAACTAGAACTTCTTCTAATTAAGTTTGGAAGTTAATCCTCACTACTTCGACCTAGCTGCTCAGAGGTTAACAACTGCAGAGTTGTGTCCTTATGAGGCAGTCCAGGTAAAACCTTCAAAAAATTTCCTCTTCCTCTTGGAATACTGACAGCTTTAAGTGGCAATAAACACATAATACTCCATTTAAAAACAAAGTTCAATGGACGTGCAGATGCAACCAGTGTACAATCAAGCCCAATTTCCTTGACTTGTAGTGACACAATAATAAGGTCAGCAATGACTCACCTCTCAGCCTTGTCTTCATGGTTCTGGGCCCAGCGATAGGTCTCTGCATAGCCTGCGTAATCACTGTACTGTTCAGTACCTGAAAGAAACCACATCTCACTCATTTTCAATAAAGATTTTTTTTCCTCTAAGGTCTGTTCCTTTAAAAAGAAATTCACCTTTTCCTCCTTTCTAAACGTAGCTCACTGGCAAATAGCAGTTAAAAACATAAATAAAACTCTGGTCTCAGTGACTTGCAATTAATTCCTTGTCTGCCGAAACCACTATTTTTTGTTGTTTTTTAAATTTTCTACTAGTTTATTTACAAAATTCGAATCATTGTTTTCAAGAACAAATTCTTTCAATTTCCCTCAACCCCCAACCCATCAAATTGTACAACCCCATAATTAATCCCACCCTCCCCCTGCACATCGGCACCCCTCTGCTTCCAACCTCTCCCACCCCTCTTGGATCCTTACACTCATTCTACAATAATGGTTTTATACAGTATTTATCCTTGTGGGACTAAGTAAGTTTACTCAGCATAATGATTTCCAGTCCCTTTCAATATAGGCAATAATTTACAAAATCGTTGCTCTTGCGTGCTGCACTGTATTCCACTGTGTGACTGTACCATAAGTTCTCAATCTATTTGTGGTTGGACATTTTGGCTGTTTCCATCTTCCTGTGATGGTGAATAATGCTGTTATGAACACTGGTGTACAAATCTCCATTTTTGCCTCAGTTCACATTTTCTCAGAGTATATTCCAAGTATTGGAATAACTGGGTCATATGGATTTCTATGTTCAGATTTTTGAGGAAACACCAAATTGCCTTCCAGAATGGTTGTACCATTTTACAATCCCCCTAACAATGTCTAAGAGTTCCTTTCTAGCTATATCCTCTTCAACATTTATTAACTTGCTATCCTGCTAAACTTTGTCACTTTGGATCAAAGACCTGGAAGTAAAGCCCAAAACCGTAATGTTCACAACAGACAAACGGGGATCAAGCTTAGAAGTACTAGTCCAGGTATATTCGCACAATGGAATACTATGCTGCATTAAAAAACAAGGAACTCCCATATAGATTCGACCCCAAAAGAAAAACATCAAGGCATATCATAGTTAAATTTGCCAGAACTAAGGATAAGGAGAGAATCCTGAAAGCAGCAAG